TAGAACTGTAGGAAGCACACATGGTCGAAGCGATGCTGTATTGCCTATTAGCGCTCTCGCGCATGCGTCTCTTAGTTTGGCCGCGATTTCCAAGGCAGAACGCTCATCAACCAAGCATTCGCTCTCCACCTCCCCTGCCCCCACTGTCTCAGCGCGCTTGCTTACTAAGCCCATTCCACTGATGAATTTGACGCCACCCAATATATTCTTCTTATCCCCCTAGTGGATACTGCGCATCCCCCCCCCACCCGCTCGAGCAGCCGATTCCCGCGAGTGTGGCAGTACGGTCTGAAAAACTTGCAGTATTACCATTGCTGAGGTAGAACAGAGGGTGGCGAGACTGAGGGACCAGGCGTAGGAAAATAGGCTGATGGCTCGCACACACAGCAAATGGGGCCTCCGGGCCCGAGGGAAAATGGAGCGCCGAGCGCAGGGGGAGGCTCGGCCTCTACAGAGTTTTTGCGCCTATTAAAGGTAGGGCGCTCTAAGAATTATAACACAGGTTACTGATAAGAATATTATTACATAAATCTCAAGTGCTGAGATACCGCCTGACGCATATTAAATTCGTATTCATACAAATATGACTCGATCGCGGTGAGAAAGCGCGAATGAGCTAAACCTAACGATTCGCCCCAGATCTGGTGCTAGCTGACTCGACATGTGCAGGCGGTACCCTTTACATGCAAGACTCTCTTCCTTCATATTACTTAATAAGCGTCTACTTGATGAACCATGTTTTCATACGAACATCTATGCTAGAATTAGCTCCTCTTTATATTAAATGCATTCTCTATTCTCTAGTACTCACAGACGTACAACGTACGGCCCCCTCCTACGAAAGTACCAGTTGTGTAATAAACTATTAATACAATACTACTATACTAAACTAAATATATATAATAACTAATCACTAGAGAGCCGAGAGGCACACAGCTCGCGCATAGGCAGCTTGATTGTTCGACTGTAAAATATTTCTCAAACCTTCTTTTACCATCTAAGTGAAAAATTTTATTCAATTAACTGTGGATCCGGATACACTCCCCAACACTGCGTAATCCAGTTCTAGTTACCCCCCCCCCATGTCTGACCTACCTCCTGACAACATTCTAATTAATTAATTCATTCACATCGCACTCGATGCAACACCCCACCCCCCAAAATCATCATTCCTAATTACCCATTCTGACCGCTCTCTGAAAATCTCTCTCGCACATCACGTCCATAATTTTTCAGTTAGGCTGTACACAACCCTCACACCGAGCAAACACGTCAAACCACCCACCGGCCCGTGAACCACTACACCTCCGCCCCCCTGGCCCCCAACCCCCCCCCTTGCGGAGGTAATTCTACTAATACTAATACTCCAATAGCTAATCACTACACTCTAATACTAATACAATACTGATACTAATAGCTAATCTCATTATTATATTATAGCTCCAACCACAACTAAATACTGAATACTACTACTCTGCAGCCTCGCTACTTCACTGGGTGTGGGCACTGCTACTGTTTACAGGTGCTTGTCATACTAATGATACATCAGATGTGAGCGCGGCATACGGCATGGTTTCGCCCAAAAGAAAATATGTAGAGTTTATGATCAAGAGAAATAGGGTGCAGAGGTTATTGTTACCAGTAAATATAGTGTCTTGGTGACAACTATGCCCGACGTTTTATATAAATAATATTTTGGCTTATTTATGACAGATTTCTTGTTTTAGTTTTAACTGTCAACCATTGTATTCTATTTCGTGGTGTTGAAAAGTCATGTTCATGTTGAATATTATTCTGAATATTTTTTAAATCTTGGTATATATATTAATAATTATATTAAATATAAGTAACGAGCAATATATTCGAGGAGTAGATTAATGGGATTATCATATTATCTACTACCCTGATATATGTTTATATATTAAAAAATTATATCAGTATAGTATATTATATATATATATATGATATATATATTATATATATATATTATATATATACTGATATTAATTTGTATTTCACATAATGCTTTTAACATAATGTTTTATTAACGACGTAGTTTTGTGCAATTTCATCTTCTATGATGGCGATCTATTGAAACCGCTTATTGGCAGCAGTTGTTTTATACGAGACAGAAATCTCGGGACGATGAAAGCGTGATTTATCGAAAGTGATCCTTACTGTTAAGTATAAAAGCCTGATACCTGGAAAAAACGCTTCTGACGTCAGCATCAATCTCTGTAGATCAGCTCTGTTCGTGAAAGGTTTGAGGCGTTGCCATGTAAAACTGTTACTGAGGTGCCGTCGGTGTCGGATTGACATTTCCCACAATGACCGTAATAATCAAGGCTCAAGCGCAGTTTACTTGCTTAACTAAAGCCTGTTGCTACTCGTGGCGGATGTTCTAGATATCGCTAAGGTACTTACGAACATTCTTCACCCAATCATCCATATAGGTTCTGACTCGAAGTTTTATACGCACTACCGATTATGTTCCAAAGAAGCGTGTCATAATTTTGAACGCGGGGCTAAGAACACTGCGTAGCGACTCTGCCCATGGGGCATTCCACCTGCTCGCGTGTCCAGCGTAATACTGAATATAGGTTGGTTTGTTCTAGTCAGTCTCGTGTGCGTTATTATTGGAGTCGTGTTAAGAAATACTAGCAGTCGTTAGTCCAACTGGAGATGTATCGATCGTGAAGATAATCACGGAACGAAAGTTGTACAGCCGACCACGGCTGGCTGGGCTGTGCTGGCGGACATGTATTGATCAGTGATGTCAATGCTTTGAATAAAAGGATGGTTTTAATCTATTTGCGTATATTACGGATGCGTTTGGCACTAGCACTAGCATACAGCTAGCGTTGGATTCTTTCAGATTGTGCTCTCATGATGCTTGTAATGTAACTCAGCTTCATTGATCTCGCTCTGTATTTCATTGCTTTTATTGTATTTTATTCGTACGGATTAAGTATTGTTTTTACTGCATATTGAATTGGAGGTGTACCTAACAGATTGGTAGTTTGTTTTATCATAGTATAGTTTTGAGAATGTATTCATGTATTTAGATGCGTGAGCTGGGAAATAGTAGATCAGGCATGAAAGAAGGATGTTTTTATTTTATGTACTACTGATCAGGCATGTTCGTATCATAGTCGTACAACGGTCGAATTTTTATCACAGATTCGTTTAACGATTCAGTAGTGTTATAGAGTATAAATATTAAATAAATATATATATATATATATTATATATATATATATATATTATAACCCGTCAGAACTCATATATATATATATAGTTTGACTGTGCGTATATTAATCATAGCTAGTTAGCGTTCAGAGGCTGCAACGGGAAGATATATAACTAGTGCTTGAGCATGACTGATGAACACTGGACCTAGACGGAAATGCAAGGGGACTTAAAGATAGATGGAAAAGGACACATGCCCCCCACGACATTCATCAAAGCTGACACGAATGACATGAATACCCGACCCCAATACACCACCCGCCAACGCCCCCACCCCCAGCCCCCCCCCACACCAACCAAACCCGCCGCCACCAAAAAAAGACACAACAACAACACTACAACACCCAACACACCCACCACACCAGACCCACACTCCCACACACAGCCGCGCGCGAGCACACGAAGAAGACTAGAGAGAGAGAGACACAGAAAAAAAAGAACAAAACACCCACACCAAAGACACAGCAGACACACACATCACACACAGCACATACCACACACACACACACAACAACGGGTGTGCAGCCCCCTGGCATGACATTATAATGATAGATATATGCTATTAATTAAGTCATACATACATGGTTATCGGCGGGTCATGTGTTTACATGACATCTGACATGCGCTTGATGGCAACATCTTGAACTTTTGAACTGTCAAGGTCGCAGTAATGGCGGCGGTCTAGCGTCTGAGTAATGGCATCAGGAAGGTGATCGTGTTGGAGGTCTGGCTGACGGTCATTGGTTTCTAGGCACAGGCCACACGTGGCTGACAATATAAAGTCAGTGATTTGCTAGCTATATGACTAACTGCAAGGTAAGATGTTCATTACGCATTCACACGACATACAAGCTATGTATGGTGTAACTCTTATTTCGATAATTGTGTCGCATTTGTGACTATCAAGATTTTTATGTTCAGATTTTCAGTCTTGCAGTTTGCAGAACGCTAGTAAAATGTGATGTGCTATATCAAGAGTAATATATGTATATACTTAATATATATATAATATAGTAGTATAATGTGTGTGTGTGTCGTGGTGTGTGTGCATGTGTGTGTGGGCGTGTGTGGTGTGCGTGTGTGTGTGGTTGATCGTGTTGGTGTACGTGTGTGTGTGATGTGCGTGTGTGTGTGTGTGTGTGTCGCATGGTGGTGTGTTGCGTGGTGTGTGTGCGTGTGTGTGTGCGTGTGTGGTGTGTGGTGTGTGTGTGTGTGTGTGGTGTGTGCGTGCGTGTGTGTGACGTGTGTGATGTGCGTGTGTGTGTTTGTGTGTGCTGGTTTGTTGTGTGTGTGTGTGCGCGCGGCGTGTGTGCGTGTGTGTGTGTGTGTGTGTGTGCGCGCGCGCGCAGCGCGTGTGTGTGTGTGTATGTGTGTGTGTGTAATGTGTGTGCATGTGTGTGGGTGTGTGAAGTGTGTGCAGTGTGTGTGTGTGTGTATGTGTTGTGTGTGGTATGTGCATGTGTGTGTATGTATGTGTGTGTGTGTGTGTGTGTGTGTGTGTGTGTGTGTGTGTGTGTGGTGTGTGTGTGTTGTGTGTGTGTGTGTGTGTGTGGTGTGTATATTAGTATCTGTGTGTGTGTGTGTGTGTGTGTGTGTGTGTGTGTGTGTGTGTGTGTAGTATATTATACTTCTACTTGTGCATACTCATACCATAGACATCATGACCTGACCGATGCCAGTGTTCCGCTAAAAGAATATTATTACTCGTGATTACTCACTCTAAAAACATCACTTGATTGTTTTTGCAGGCTTTGGGATGGGTTTCATTTTAACACCTTCCATTGCTATTGTCGGTTACTATTTCGACAAGTATCGCCCTCTGGCGTCCGTGCTAACGTCATGCGCTCACTCTGCTGGTACGATGGTCGCTCCGATGGTGACCGTTGCATTCATCGATTCCTTCACCTGGCACGGTGCACTGCTCATAACCGCCGGGGTGTGTATGCACATGGTGCTAGGAGGGATGCTGTTCCGACCTCTTCCTGTAGCGAAAACGACGAACGGGACTGTGAGGAAGAAGACGGCAGCCCTGAGCAGCGGCGCCATCAAGAAACTAGCACTGTACTGCGTGACGGCGGTGTGCTTTAATGCTGGTAGCGAGTCCATCCTGATGTTCAGCATCAAGTACGGATTGGAACTGGGCATTCCGATTGAGACAGTCGCACAGCTATGCATAATCCGAGATGTCAGCAGTACGCTTATCCGTTTCACTGTGGCTATCATATCCGGCAGCTCGTGCTTCAATCGCCGCATCGCGTTTGCGAGCGGGATCTCGTTAGGTGGCGCCGCCGCCCTGCTATTCTTTTTTGCGCCGTCGCGAGCTCTGTATCCGGTCCTACTGTGCGTGTACGGACTTGGAAGTGGTGTCACTTACTCGTTGGGAGCCTCCGTCAACGTAGATTTGTTTGGAGTCGGGAATCTTCTGACGATCGAAGGAATAGTCAACTTTGCCGCGGGTTGTGCAAGTTTCATCGGACCCCTTATCGCCGGTAACACATCTATCAATACTGTGGAGGGTAGTTTAGGATGTGGGGATGTTTCAGCTACATATGAACTAAAGCTTCCCTGTTGTGCTTCCATCATGAGATAAAAAGACACTTGAGTGGATGTGTTTTACCATCACGTCTTGAACACGTGAATATGTTTTTTATCTTTACGTTAACAGGTGCCATGGTGGACCAATTTGGAAACACGAGATCAGCATTCCTATTTGGCGGGATCATGCTTCTCACGTCGGCGCTGTTTTTTGTCGGCGTCCTCCTCCTTAACCGCCGCCAGGTTAACATCCGACGCGCCAGCGTTATGACGATGATGATGACGACGACGATGATGATGACGATGGATGCACGCGTATATGTTGTGCATTCATCCTCGCGGCTATAGGAGGTGTACAACAGTAAGCGTCCGCAAATTGTTCACCGTTGCACTATATCGTCTCTAGAAAATGCCTTTTTTTCGCATATTTTTTCGCAAAAATACGGCACTAGAGGCAATAATTTGCATTATGCACGCAAGTTAAATGCCTCGTGGACGTCTAGAAAGCATTAGAAGTAAAATTGGTCTTGTTGTGTATTCGTGACATTCCGTCAGGTGGCGTAGCCACAGCGAGCGTTGGTCATTTTTGTCTTTGAAATGTGTTCAGGTGTGCTTAACAGCATGGAGCTAACATTAATTTCCATTGATTTCTGTGTTTTGGGGGCTCATTTCAGAGATATCTCAGGCTCACGAGTGATATCTCAGCTTCTGGAGTCATACCACATTTGAAATTCGGTCGCCAAATAAGGGAATGGCTCTAAATTATTTATCTAAAATTTCAAGTCGATCCGCATCTTCGCTGCTCATATATAACCACCAGTGACTGTCTCGCTTATCACGAGAGGCATGCTACGACGTAATAGCTGGTAGAAAAGTCAGCTGTCACTACTGCCACTACCAAATAGCCAGGGTTTGGGACAGGTACTTACAACAGGGAATTACAACATAACTGCTCACCAAATTCAATCAAAACATATCTATTGAATAAAAGAGATGTTTCTCTGCGCTCACCATGAAAATAATCATGAAAAAATTCATTGCTAATTAGTTTACTTTAAATTGTAAATTTATACAAAAAATGTTTTTTCACATTTCTTAGAAACAACAAAGGGTTGAGACCTAAACTTTAAGCCAAGTTGTTCATAGTATGAACTAGTAATCAGTCCCTGGAATTTTTTCCCCAATTTTAAATGTTTTATTTTAGGAAATGAGTTGAAAAGATGCACGCAAATCTCCATTTTTTATTTATGATACAACAATATCGTAAAATAAAGAGCCATAACTTCTAAAATAAAACATTGAAAAAATCCAGGGAACGTTTACTAGTTCATACTACGAACAACTTATGGTTAAAACTTTAGGTCCCAACCTTTTGCTGTTTCTGAGAAACGTGGAAAAACCCCACATTTTTTTGTATAAATTTACAATTTTTGCCGTAATTAGTGATAAATTTTTATGGTTATTTTTTCGTGAGCGTAGAGAGACATCTCTTTTATTAAATAGATATGTGTTTGATTGAATTTGGTGAGCAGTTATGTTGTAACCCCCTTACCAGAGATACTTGTCCGTAACCCTGACTGTATCCTTATAACGCAGGAATTGATAACGCGGATGCACCCGGGATAAAAGGGGCATCGGAAACAAGGGGCACTACGATCAGGGGGCACCGGGATCAAGGGGGTGTCAGGGGGGCAGAAATTAGTGGGGTACGTTACAGGCAGGGCAGGCAATAGGTTCAATGGATGTCGGTTTGGAGCATTGTGTTAGACATTTATAGTATCAAACTGTCCGTTTTCTTTTTCGAAAATCACAATTTTTATAACATAGTTTTTCTTTTTTTAGTTCTTTGGGATTTCGAGACCGAGATCGTCGTCTGAGAAACGTGAAAAAATCAGGTTTCAACCGAAAATACGATTATTTAGCCAAAATTATATACGTCCGTGCAGTAGAGAGATTATGTCTATAATATACCTGCGGTGGGTATCTAGCAAGCTAGAGCTCAATATCGTTTTAAAATAAGTCTGTCGAAAGTCATTAATCATATCAAGGTACTAGCGGGTAGCTACTCTCTACTTTAAATGTATACGTTTAACTAAATACCATTTCGTTTGGAAGAATTCGTCTTACGAAAACCTAGTTCATGGCCGGCAAAATCCATGAAGATTTACTTATGTAACAGACTTTCTGATCTGGATGCGCGCAAGCCAAGTGACGTTTAAATTATACATGTAGTGAAATTATACATCTCCGGAGTGAATCTCCCATGACGTATACCGTACAAGCTATACTATATGTTGCCTATCATTCTAATTGCGAGACCTAGTGATTGTCATTCATAATATAAGAAGTAAATAATAAGGGCAAATAATATCTCCCCTTAGTTCATTATAAAAAATAATTTCTGTTATGGAGTCTTGTTAATATCCAATTACTGGCGACTGCCTGCGCGGGTAATTGGATATTTAATTATCTCCTTTAAATGTATGTTGTTGTTTTTTAAATAACGTTAACTTTAGCATATACTTGGCACGTAGAATTGCAGAAGACTTTGCACATTATAATTGGTGAATATTGAAACATTCATAATTGATGAAAATTAAAACATTAGAATCGTTAGAACACTGGAACTTTTTCATTGAACTTCTTTTCTTTCTTATGAACATCTGCTATCGGGAGTAAATGATAAATCATATTTCCTATGACATATAATACGGATGAGCTAACATAAATCTTACCATATGTTACAGTCGAATGGAATTCAGGAAAATTATATATCATTACATAAGCCGAGAGTTCGGGATATATATTGTGCATGTCAAACTATCGGTATCTGCACCTTACACAGAATGTATAATTTCAACACAATTTATATTATTTTTGGCATAAACCTACTTGCATAAACCTTTCGGCTTATACTATACTAGTTTCGGCATGTACTTAACCTAGGTAATATAAAATTATACGATTAATCAAAAGAAACACATGAGTCGCTTTTAATGCACATAGGCTATGTGACGGTGGGTCTACCGCCATGTATCCTCTACAACCGTGCGCAACCGCTCGATAGAGTTAAAAAAACATAGTTTCTCTCGCATCGCAACGACGTGAGTCATACGTGAAAGAAAACTGGTTTCAAAATTCCTCTCTGGGAGAAAAAGGGTGCCGAAAGCACTGACAGAAACCCCGCCCCACCACCTTTCTAGCTGCTGCGCCCATTCGGAGGCGTTGCCATGGCAGTGTGCCAGTGACCCGCTAATATTGTCGGAACGTCCTATTCTGTTCTCTCTGTCTCTCTCTTCCTCTCGCTCTCTCTATCTCTATCTCTTGTGGGATCAGGGGTGTAGTGGGATCAGGGGTGTAGCGGGATCAGGGGTGTAGTGGGATCAGGGGTGTAGTGGGATCAGGGGTGTAGCGGGATCAGGGGTGTAGTGGGATCAGGGGTGTAGTGGGATCAGGGGTGTAGAGGGATCAGGGGTGTAGCGGGATCAGGGATGTAGCGGGATTAGGGGTGTACCCACTAGTAACTGATTAAGCTATGTCATCTGTGATGCACTCGCGATGTAACGTATGATAAGGCAATGCCTCACGATGTCATGTATAACATGTCTATAAGAACACTGTATAACACGTCCCGAACGTCATTTACTGTATGTATGTAATATATATCATGAGAACCAACTGCCTTGCGTTTATTACAACGAATTGTACAAGCATAACATTAAAGTAGAAGGAATGTCTACTTATGGGAAATGATGAAGACACCTGTGCTGAGATATTAGGGCACAAGTAGCATGGTGTCTTGAAATTGTAGATTTCGCCTGATTCTCTGCATTTTTTACTAAATTTATAGTGCTTCTGTCATAAGGAAATATTTCTAAAGTCGTGATCAATTTTGCTTAGTATCACAGTCGGCTATTCAGTAATTCAGAGGTAACCTGTTATTACTGCGAACTTAAATGACTCCGAGAATAATGATAACAATGGAATATTCAGGGCTGTCGGTTTCTGAGAGACGAGTGTTAGGTTCAGGGGGTGCCTGTTCAACTGTAGGATGGTGATAAATAATTTTCGAGTGCCCTATTGGGCTACTGGCCTAGTGGGCTAGTGAAGAGATTCACTGTTTTCACTGGCGGGTGCCACCGCATACAAGGCTCTCTCCTTAGCACCCCCAGGGTGGTGATGACTCAATGGGATGGAGAGACCAAGATGCAGCAGCTGGAGAGGGATCCAGGTTCAAACGGAGGGCCTGATTCAGAGGGGTCACCTGCTGAAGGTGTACCAATGGGTTTAGGGGCCATAGGGTTCATGGGGTACCAGGTTCAGGCGTTGATAGGTTCAGGGTCGGGATCCTATTCAAAGTCAAAGTATGCTAAATTTGATAAAAAACCGTTTGGACGAGAAGATGTATCAAAAGGCCCTATCAGCTTCGAAGACAATCGTAGAAGAAAAGCATGAGAGAAAGCATAAAGAGGATATGAAGCGGTTTGGGACTGGAAACAGTAGAGCCTAGAGCGGTTTTAAGCCCAGAATTTTTGTTATAGATTTATGCTCTCTGGAATTTTGACCCTAAAATGTGATTTTATTGTATAATATGTGTGTGTGTGGGGGGGGGGTAATTATTGTTATGGTGGTGCGCGTACACGTGCGATAGTAAATAGTGTTCAGCGCTGTCTCACACTCTTACGTCACACGTCTTACGTCTTACGTCACTCTTACGTACACTCTTACGTCACACTATCACGATTCTACGTTATATGTTGTAGACTTTGTGCATTTGAAATGAAGCTACATTAAATCGTCGTTTTATCCTAAATATTTTTACCTTTTTTATATTTATTCTCGTTCGATTTCTCTGAAACCATTGTAGCTGTATGCACCGAAATGTTTTGTGTTGTCTAGAATGTTTTACGAAAATATATTGGCTTGGTTTCACCGTCCCTCGTGACACACGACGTTCTTCACTAGTAGGTTGAGAGCGAAAACCCCTGTCTACTATTCAATGACGCACGCAGAAACGCCTGGGCCAGGCTACTACTGTAAAAAATCACTTCTCGGATAGATGATGTGACGACAGTGATCGAATGCGTTTGGAAATCGCGAGTTCTTGTCGTGTAGTGGCTATTTAACTGCCGGTTTCATTCGGATACGACGCCATGCACCCTAGAATGAGAAGTAGAGAAGGCGGGTCTCCAAAAAAAATCCTTTCATAGAAACAGGGCGGAAAATCTGCTCGATTTTGACAGAATTATTTCTTCTAAAGTATTGTACGAATCACGTCTGCAATCGCAAAGCAGGGAAGTGCTATTTCGACCCTTCCTCCATTTGGATTCGCTCCTGGGTGTCAAACGTACTGCTTCATTGCCCCTCTGCTTGCAAAAGTACTGATTGCTATCATAGCAACCTTAACCTCACACAACGGATTTCTCGACCAACTATACTAATGCGTTGTCTACTTTCCGGTTTCGTCCATTACTCGTTATCTAACTAAAAAACACAATATTTCATCCAACATAAAAATCATTTTAGCTGTGTGTGTGTGTGTGTGTGTGTGTGTGTGTGTGTGTGTGTGTGTGTGTGTGTGTGTGTGTGTGGGTGTGCAGCCCCCCTTGGGACAATTGACATTATATGGATAGCATATAGCTATTTAATTAAGTCTATGACATAATGTTATCGCGGTGTTCACTGTGTTTACATTGACATCGCCATGCGCTTGAATGCACATTCCTGCAACATTTATATCTGTCAGGTCAGTTAAGCGTCTGCGCGTCTTAGCTGTCGGGTATGGCATCAGGAAGGTTGTCGGCTCGTTGGAGGTCTGGCTGACGTCTTGAGTTCGGGCATCCAGCCCAAGTGCTGACAAATATATCAGTGATGTTTGCCTAGCTATTCCACTCTCACAGGTAAGATGTTTCATACGCACTCAAACACACATACAAAGCTATGTATTCGTGTAACTCTTACTTTCGTAATTGTGTCATTTTTGTTGATTATCAAAGATTTTATGTTAGAGATTTTCAGTCTTCAGTTTGCCAGACGCCTAGCTAAACTTGTGTGGTGCATACTAATCAATTGAGATAATATATCTGATATATCTAATATATAATATATATTATATATGTGCTGTGTGTGCGTGTGCGTGGTGCATGCTGGTGTGTGCGTGTGTTGCGTTGTGCGGTGTGTGTTGCCGTGTGCGTGTGTGCGTGTACGTGTGTGGCGGTGTTGTTTCGTGTGTGTGATAGGTGTGTGCAGGTGTGTTGTGCGTGTGTGTGTGCGTTCGTGTGTGTGTGTGTGTGTGATGTGTGTGTGTGCTGTGTGTTGACTGTGATGTGTGCGGACCTCGCCGCTGTGTGTGGAGTGTTGTGTGGTGATGCCCCGTGTGCTGTGTGTGTGTGTGTGCAATGTTTGTGTTGTGTTGTGTTGCGCGCGCCTGTCGTGTGCGTGTGTGTGTGTGTGGTGTGTGCGCGCGCTGCCGCGCGCGTGTGTGTGTGTGTAGTGTGTGTGTGTGGAATGTGAATGTGTGTGCATGTGTGCAGTGTGTGCTGGGTGAATGGTGTTGCATGTGTGTGTGATGTGGGTATGTGTGTGGTGTGTATGTGCCATGTGTGGTGTATGTGTGTGTGTGTGTGTGTGTGCTGTGTGTGTGTGTGCGTGTTGTGTGGGTGTGTGTTCGTGGTGTGTGTGTGTCGTGTGTGTGTTGTGTGTGTAGTTATTAACTTGCTACTTGTGCATATCCCATCACGGAATAATGACTCGTTACCGTAGATATCATGACACTGCACCAATGCCGTGTTCCGCCTAAAAGAATATTCTTACTCGTGATTCTCACTCTAGAAAAACAATCACTTGATTGTTTTTGCAGGCTTTGGGATGGCGTTTCAATTTTTAACACCTTCATTGCTATTGTCCGGTTAATTTCGCAAGTATCGCCTCTGGCGTCCGTGCTAACGTCGATGCGCTCACTCTGCATGGTACGATTAGGATCCGCTCGTCGTAATGGTGACCGTTGCATTCATCGATTCCTTACCTGGGCCACGGTGCACTGCTCATAACCGCCGGGGTGTGTATTGACATGGTGCTAGGAGGGATGCTGTTCCGACCTCTTCCTGTAGGAACGACGAAAACAAACCGGCGGGACTGTGAGGAAGAAGACAGCAGGCCCTTGAGCAGCGGCCAGCCATCAAGAAACTAGCACCTGTACTGCCGTGACGGCGGATGTGCGATTTAATGCTGTAGCGAAGGTCCATACCTGATGTTGCAGCCATCAATTTACGGATTGGAAACTGGGCATTCCGAATTGAGACAGTCGCCAAGCTATGCATATATCGAGATGTCAGCAGTACGCTTCATCCGTTCACTGTGGCTATCCATAACCGCAGCTCCACGTGCTGTCTCAATAAGCGCCGCATCGCGTTTCGAGCGGACTCGGTTAGTGCGCCGCCGCCCTGCGCTATTCTTTTTTGGCGCCGCGTCGCGAGCTTGTAATCCGGTCCCTGAGCTGTGCGGTACGGACTTGGAAGTTCGGTGTCACTACTCGGGGCCTCCGTCACGTAGATTGTTGTTTGGATCGGGGAATCTTCATAGACGATCGAAGTCAACCTTTGCCCGGTGTTGTTGCAAGTCATGCGGCCCCTTATGCCCCGGTAACACATTCTATCATACTGAGTGAGGGTAGTTAGATTGTGGGATGTTTCAGCTACATATGAACTTAAAGCTTCCCTGTTGTGCTTCCATAGAGATAAAATAAGACACGGTTCGAGGTGGCACCTGACTGTTTTACATCACGTCATTTTGAACACAGTTGAATAATGTTTTTATCTTACGTAACAGGTGCCATGGTGGACCAATTGGAAACACGAGATCAAGCATTCCTAATTTGGTGGGATCATGCTTCTCACGTCGGCGCTGTTTTTTGTCGGCGTTCCTCCTCCTTAACCGCCGCCAGGTTAACATCCGACGCGCCAGCGTGGCGAGTAGGAAGGCATCCCGCCGCTCATTTACAGTAGCAAACGACGACGATGACGAGACGATGACGATGACGATTTATGACGATGACGATGACGATGACTACGGATGTCTTACACGTACGCATAAGGTACAACGCGTAGGGATGTAGCAGGATCAGGGTGTAGCGGGATCAGAGGTGTTAGGTGGCGATCAGGGTTTTGTTTAGGGGGCCCCGACACACACACACACACACACACACACACACACACACGTACGCACGCACACACGCACGCGCACTCACACACACACACAGACACACATACGCACGCACGTGCAGAAACGCGCACACACGCGCACTCACGCACGCACGCACACACACACGCACACGCACACACACGCACGCACGCACTGACGCCTGCGCAGTAGTCAGATATAATGGTAGAAGCCCAGTTCCCGTATGTTGACCGACGTGTGTCGTATAGCACGAAACGCGCTATAAGCGGCTTGTGAGCTTTAATAGTACGTTCCCGGCAAAATAAACATCAGTCAGCGCGTGGAGTAGGTAGCAGCAACTCGCTAATGTTCCAGCTGATATCGCAGACGATATCAGGCAAATCGCAGGCAAATCGTTGATCGCCAACGTAGCGTATAGTATACAATTGCTACTATTATGTTCATGCATGCGAACGCACCTACAGTCCAGTGCGTGCGGGAACAATACACGTGGAATTTATGCTTCTATTGACAAAATGAATATATGATAGAGAAAAATATTAGATAATAGCTGTGTGCGTGTGCGTGTGCGTGGCCTCGCGCGCTTGCGTGTACGTGAACGTGTGCTTTTGTACGTGCGTTCGAGTGTATATATGTTTTCGTACAGCACGCAAAGGCAATAAGTCTATTATACGTGAGCACTGTACCCGCATATGCTACTGTATTTCAGCCCGGGATAAATGCGGCCATACGAACTAAAGCAAGGAAACATAGGAGCGTATATGTGACACATGCGCGTAGGCCTACTGCAACGATGTCTTCTACTAGCGCGCCACGTCTTCCGTGCGAAATGACCCACAGATGGCGCTGCGGTTCGCGTCCCATACGGGCTCGTCTGCCGGCTACTGGTCAGTAACTACATCTACTACTACTACTTCTACTACTACTACTACCACTACTACTACTTCTACTACTACTACTACCACTACTACTACTACGTCTACGTACTAGTGCTGTAACTACTACAGTCTACGTATTAGGTCTGTATAACTACGTGTTGACGGTGGGAGCACATCTGGACGTGTAATCGATGCTTACAAACCTCCACCGCGTACATCTACACTTGGTATAGCGCGACGGGATAGAAGAGAGCTGGCTGCAAACGTCCGTCACAACAAGCACAAGACATCTGCTCGTGCTAAGCTAGGATTACAACACTGTTATAGCAGAGCTCGGTATGTGTGCGTGTATGTGTGTAGAGAAAGGATTACGGACCGCGTTGGTGTGCGTCGTGAAGATGGTGAATTAACTGCTGGTTTCAGATCTGATACGCGCGTTCCTTTTTTGAGAGAGAGAAAGAGAGAGACAGCGAGAGAAAGAGAGAGAGAGAGAGAGTCTCTCTCTCTTTCTCTTTCCTCTCTCTCTCCGCCTCTCTCTCACCCTCCCTCCCTCTCTCTCTCTCCTTCTCTCTCTCTCTTTTCTCTCTCTCTCTTCTCTCTCGCTTTCTTCCTCCCTCCCTCTCTCTCTCCGCCCCTTCTCTCGCTCCCTCCCTACCGGATTATCTGTAGATTATCTGTTATTACTGACATCAAATGACGTGACGACATGGCATGTGGTTGTGAGCCCGCAGAATTGGTTTTTAACAGCGGAGTGTTATTACAAGATGCCTTAAGCAGCTCCTGCTAGTTTCAGTCTACTCACTAATAGGACTTTTCAGTCTAACCATGAATCTATGGTCTGACCACATAGCGGGATGGAGTGCGTGTACTCTCTCGCGAAACACTGTTGTAGCCATAGAAATACATACATACGTATATGCAGGAGTGAATAATAATAGATAATAGATAATAAGAATAAAAGAATAAGAATATGAGAAGATAAGAATAAGAATATGAGAAGATAAGAATAAGAATATGAGAAGATAAGAATAAGAATAGTAGATAATAGAATAATAATCTATTATCATTCACTCCTGGTACATGTATTTCTATGGTCGTAACACTGTCGTTGTCAGTAGCGCCCCCTAACGACGGGGAGCGGAACCACGACGAACTGCCCCGGGGATATTATGATAGCTCGAGCGCTAGGTGTGTTCTGGCTGACTGCCTGGACGACAGCGTTACGGCGGTCTCACCTCACTAATGATGTGCCCCCGCTTTGTAACCTCAACAAAGTCTTTGTGCGTGCGAGCTGCATGCGGTGGTGAGAGGGGTGCGCTCATACACACAGGCAGAGAGAGAGAGAGAGAGAGAGAGAGAGAGAGAGAGAGAGAGAGAGAGAACAGCTCCGGGGGTCGCGAGTTGCAAGTCAGCTAGAGGCCTTAGGCTGCGTCGCTACATATTATAGATGCCTGTTCCACGAGTGACGGGCGGTGAATTAACTGAGCCGCCGCTGTTCGAGTCGATAGCTGTGCGTTGCCCGCGGGGGTGGTACGAGTGCATGCGTGGCCGGTGGTGCGGCCGCGATATCTTAGCGGGATAGGTGCGTATATAGGTGCGCTCCTGCATGCGTGACATTGTGCAGGTTTGTTAGCGAGCTGTGGCATCCCCGGTCATTCGGAACCTACTGGTGCAGAGATTTCCACTGCATTCCTGCGAGAATCTACGTGCGCCCGTGCGTGTGTATGTGTGCGTGTGTGAATAGCAGCTAGTCGGTGAAACTGATGGTACCAAGAGCTAATACATACCTTTATTGGTACGATCTGCTTGATGGTACCCTATAGTGCAGCTGCAACGTGGTGATAATCTGTATAGCTATAATAATATATAATCTATATATTATACACGTCGATCGATTGGATATACACATGGTCGCTGTTCTAGGCGATGCTGGCCATACGTAAGTTCTTGTGGTGAATGCTACGGCTCGATCTGCGTGTGTGTGGCTCTCTCTCTTTCCCCCCTTTCTCTCTCTTTCCCCCTCTCTCTCTCTCTCTCTCTCTCTCTCTCTCTCTCTCTCTCTCTCCCTCTCTCCCTCCCCCCTCGATCTCTCTCATGTGGGCGTGCGTGCGTGCGTGTGTGCGTGAAGTGCGTGCTGGGCTTCCCTCCCGGCGGCGAACACCGTCGGGCGTGTTGTGCGCGTAAGTACGTGGGTCGGTGTGCGTGCGTGTTTACGTGTGTGCGTATGTGCTTGCCGTGCCTGCTATGTACGTGTGTACGTGAGTACGTGCGTGCGTGCGTGGCGTGCCAGCGTGCGTGCGGGCGGGCGTGCGGGCGTGCGTGCGTGCGGCCGCTGGTGCGTCGCGTGCGTATGTGCGCGAACATCTGTGCGCGTAGTGACCGCCCTTCAATTTTGCGCATAATATGAGCCAGGTATCATTTAACTGTATTTTCACTCTTTGACATACACAATTTAAGTGTCTTTATCCTCGCGTCTGCAGGTGTCATGGTGGATCGATTCGGGAGCACTCGATCAGCGTTCCTATTTGGCGGGATCCACGCTTCTCACGTCCGGCGCCTGTTTTTTGTCGGCGTCCTCCTCCTTAACCGCGCCAGGTTAACATCCGACGCGCCAGCGTGGCGAGTAGGAAGGCATCCCGCGCTCATTACAGTAGCAAACGACGACGATGACGCATGACGATGACGATGACGATTGATGATGATGACGATGGACGATGATGATGATGGCGATGACGATGATTATGACGACGACGATGATGATGACGATGGATGCACGCGTATATGTTGTTGCATTCATCCTCGCGGCTATAAGGAGGGTACAACAGTAAGCGTCCGCAATTGTTCACCGTTGCACTATATCGTCTCTAGAAAATGTCTTTTTTTCGCATATTTTTCGTGCAAAAATACGGCACTAGAGGCAATAATTTGCATTATGCACGCAAGTTAAATGCCTCGTGGACGTCTAGAAATCATTAGAAGTAAAATTGGTCTTGTTTGTGTATTCGTGACATTCCGGGTCCCAGGTGGCGTAGCCACAGCGAGCGGTTGTCATTTTTGTCTTTGAAACTGTGTTCAGGTGTGCTTAACAGCATGGAGCTAACATTAATTTCCATTGATTTCTGTTGTTTTGGGGGCTCATTTCAGAGATATCTCAGGCTCACGAGTGATATCTCAGCTTCTGGAGTCATACCACATTTGAAATTCGGTGCGCCAAATAAGGGAATGGCTCTAAAATTATTTATCGTAAAATTTCAAGTCGATCCGCATCTTCGCTGCTCATATATAACCACCAGTGACTGTCTCGCTTTATCACGAGAGGCATGCTACGACGTAATAGCTGTAGAAAAGTCAGCTGTCACTACTGCCACTACCAAATAGCCAGGGTTTGGGACAGGTACTTACAACAGGGAATTACAACATAACTGCTCACCAAATTCAATCAAACATATCTATTGAATAAAAGAGATGTTTCTCTGCGCTCACCATGAAAATAATCAATGAAAAAATTCATTGTAATTAGTTTACTTTAAATTGTAAATTTATACAAAAAATGTTTTTCACATTTCTTAGAAACAACAAAGGGTTGAGACCTAAACTTTAAGCCAAGTTGTTCATAGTATGAACTAGTAATCAGTCCGCGAATTTTTTCCCCAATTTTAAATGTTTTATTTTAGGAAATGAGTTGAAAAAGATGCACGGCAAATCTCCATTTTTTATTTATATACAACAATATCGTAAAATAAAGAGCCATAACTTCTAAAATAAAACATTGAAAAAAATCCAGGGAACGTTTACTAGTTCATACTACGAACAACTTATGTTAAAACTTTAGTCCCAACCTTTTGCTGTTCTGAGAAAACGTGAAAACCCCACATTTTTTTGTATAAATTTTACAATTTTTGCCGTAATTAGTGATAAATTTTTATGGTTATTTTTTCGTGAGCGTAGAGAGACATCTCTTTTATTAAATAGATAGTGTGTTTGATTGAATTTGTGTGAGCAGTTATGTTGTAAACCCCCTTACCAGAGATACTTGTCCGTAACCCTGACTGTATCCTTATAACGCCAGGAATTGATAACGCGGATGCCCCCGGGATAAAAGGGGCATCGGAAACAAGGAGGCACTACGATCAGGGGCACCGGGATCAAGGGGTTCAGGGGGGCAGAAATTAGTGTGGGTACGTTACAGGCAGGGCAGGCAATAGGTTTAATGGATGTCGGTTTTGGAGCATTGTGTTAGACATCTATTATATCAAAACTGTCCGTTTTCTTTTTCGAAAAATCACAATTTTTATAACATAGTTTTTCTTTTTTTAGTTCTTTGGGATTTCGAGACCGAGATCGTCGTCTGGAGAAACGTGAAAAAATCAGGTTGTTTCAACCGAAAATACGATTATTTAGCCAAAATATTAATACGTCCTGTGCAGTAGAGAGATTATGTCTATAATTACCTTGCGGTGGGTATCTAGCAAGCTAGAGCTCAATATCGTTTTAAAATAAGTCTGTCGAAAGTCATTAATTCATATCAAGGTACTAGCGGGTAGCCTACTCTCTACTTTAAATGTATACGGTTAACTAAATACCATTTCGTTTTGGAAGAATTCGTCTTACGAAAACCTAGTTCATGGCCCGCAAAAATCCATGAAGATTTACTTATGTAACATACTTTCTGATCTGGATCGCGCGCAAGCCAGTGACGTTTAAATTATACATGTAGTGAAATTATACATCTCCGGAGTGAATCTCCCATGACGTATACCGTACAAGCTATACTATATTGTTGCCTATCATTCTAATTGCGAGACCTAGTGATTTCATTCATAATAATAGAAGTAAATAATAAGGCAAATAATATCTCCCCTTAGTTCATTATAAAAAATATTTCTGTTATGGAGTCTTGTTAATATCCAATTACTGGCGACTGCCTGCGCGCGGGTAAATTGGATATTTAATTATCTCCATTAAATGTATGTTGTTGTTTTTTAAATAACGTTAACTTTAGCATATACTTGGCACGTAGAATTGCAGAAGACTTTGCACATTATAATTGGTGAATATTGAAACATTCATACATTGATGAAATTAAACATTAAGAATCGTTAGAACACTTGGAACTTTTTCATTGAACTTCTTTCTTTCTTATGAACATCTGGCTATCGGAGTAAATGATAAATCATATTTCCTATGACATATAATACGGATGAGCTAACATAAATCTTACCATAATGTTACAGTCGAATTGGAATTCAGGAAAATTATATATCATTACATAAGCCGAGAGTTCGGGATATTATATTGTGCATGTTCAAACTATCGGTATCTGCACCTTACACAGAATGTATAATTTCAACACAATTTATATTATTTATTGGCATAAACCTACTTGCATAAACCTTTCGGCTTATACTATACTAGTTTCGGCATGTAACTTAACCTAGGTAATATAAAATTATACGATTAATCAAAAGAAACACATGAGTCGCTTTTAATGCACATAGGCTATGTGACGGTGAAGTCTACCGCCATGTATCCTCTACAACCGTGCGGCAACCGCTCGATAGAGTTAAAAAAACATAGTTTCTCTCGCATCGAACAACGAGCGTGAGTCATACGCTGAAAGAAAAACTGGTTTCAAAAATTCCTCTCTGGAGAAAAAGGGTGCCGAAAGCACTGACAGAAACCCCGCCCCCACCACCTTTCTAGCTGCTGCGCCCATTCGCGGAGGGTTGCCATGGCAGTGTGCCAGTGACCCTAATATTGTCGGAACGTCCTATTCTGTTCTTCTCTGTCTCTCTCTTCCTCTCGCTCTCTCTATCTCTATTCTCTCTTTCTTCTCTATCTATCTAGCTATCTCTATCTCGCTCTCTCTCTCTCTCTCTCTCTCTCTCTCTCTCTCTCTCTCTCTCTCTCTCTCTCTCTTCTCTCATCTTCTTCTCTCTCTGCTCTCTCTGCCTCTCGCTCTCTCCTCTCTCTCTCTCTCTCTCTCTTCTCTCTCTCTCTCTCTCTCTCTCCTCCCTCTCTCTCTTTCTCTCTCTCTCTTCTTTCTCTCTCTATATCTCTTTCACTCTCATTTCCATTTACGCGGTACTACATAATTCCTGTGACATTAGAGGTTTTGGGCAGTGACCTATCGATAGTTCTCGTGTGTCCATTTACGGCGCAGCCCTCTCTCTCTCCTCTCTCTCTCTCTCTCTCCTCTCTCTCTCTCTCTCTCTCTCTCTCTCTCTCTATCTCTATCTCTGTCTGTCTCTCTCTCTCTCTCTCTCTCTCTCTCTCTCTCTCTCTCCTATCTCTGTTCTCTTGCTCTTTCTCTCTCTCTCTCTCTCTCTCTCTCTCTCTCTCTTCTCGCCTCCTCTCTCTCTTCTCTCTCTCCGCCGCTCCTCTTCTCTCATCTCTTTCTCTCTCTCTCCGCCCCACACACACACACACACACACATTCCTACTTGTTTATATCGTGTGTGCGTTATCACAGGGTGCATTATGTTTGCATATATATATATATATATATTTATTTATTTATTTGAAATTCTTCATATTCCAATATATTATTCATTTGATTTTGCAGGCCTCGGGATGGGTTTGGTTTTTACACCTACCAATGCCGTGATTGGCTACTACTTCGACAAGTACCGCCCCCTGGCGTGCGTGCTAGCGTCATGCGCGAGTTCTGTAGGCGCAATGCTTGCTCCGTTATTGGCTGTTGCATTAATTGGCTCGTTCACCTGGCAGGGTGCAATGCTCGTGACAGGCGGGCTATCTATACACGTCGTACTGGCCGGGATGCTCTTTCGGCCTCTTCCGGAACCGGAAAGAAATGGCAAGGCGGCTATGAAGAAGGAAACTGCTCTGAGCAGCGCTGTAATAAAGAAACTGGTGCTGTACTGCTCGGCAATGTTGTTCTCGACGGCCGGTGCCAGCTCCGTATCGATGTTCCTGGTGAAGTACGGCTTAGAACTGGGCCTTCCTATCGACACTGTTGCTCAGCTGAGCGTCATCCGGGCCGCTAGCGCCACTCTAGCGGGATTCGGAGTCGCTATCATATCCGGCAGCTCGTGCTTCAACCGCCGCATCGCGTATGCGAGCGGAGTCTCGCTAGGTGGCGCCACCGCCCTGCTATTCTTTTTTGCGCCGTCGCGAGCTCTGTATCCGGTCCTACTGTGCGTGAACGGACTTGGAACTGGTGTCGCGTACTCTCTGCTAGCCTCCGTCAACGTAGATTTGTTTGGAGTTAAGAATCTTCTGAAGATCCAAGGAATTATCAGCTTTGCTGCGGGCTGTGCAAACTTCATCGGACCCCTTATCGCCGGTAACACGGTTTATTCCCGGTTGGCCTACTCCAATTTCGCCTACGGCAAAATTCCCATTTCGCCTACAGCAAATTCCCAGTTGGCCTACACCCATTTTACCTACTCCCAATTTGTCTACGCTCAAAATCTACCCCATTCCCATTTCGTCTACGATCGGTTTGTTCACTAAATAATCATTTATAAATAATAAAATATGGTTTTGATTGGCATACATAGACTACAAGAACCAGAAGAAAACATAAGTACAAATAATGAGAACACAACTTGATAAAAATAGAAAATACAGTAGCATAATGGGAGTAGGCGAAATGGGAATATTACCGATTCTGAGAGTAGACGAAATGGGACGTAGGCGAAATGGGAGTAGGCCAACTGTTAGCGGTAATCTATCAATACTGTGGTGGGTGGTTTAGGATGTGGGGATGTTTCAGCTGCATATGAACTACTGCTTCCCTGTTATTGGCAATCCATGGGTAATCCTGCCCTATAACACAGACATATCTTACATTAATACACGTATGGGGGAGAATAGCGCTGCTCGCGCGAATCTAAGAACACAACCCCGTATATTATGCGTGAATTTCTATGTGTGTGCGCGTGCGTATCTGCGTGTGTGCGCATGTGCTTGCGTGCATGTGTACGTGTGTGCGTATGTACTTGTGTACGTGTGTACGTGCGTGCGTATTTGTTTGCGTGCGTATGTACGTGTGTGCGTATGTGCTTGCGTGCATGTGTACGTGTGTGCGTATGTACTTGTGTACGTGTGTACGTGCGTGCGTATTTGTTTGCGTGCGTATGTACGTGTGTGCGTATGTGCTTGCGTTCGTGTGTACGTGTGTGCGTATGTGCTTGTGTACGTGTGTACGTGTGTGTGTATGTGTTTGCGTGCGTATGTACGTGTGTGTGTATGTGCTTGCGTTCGTGTGTACGTGTGTGCGTATGTGCTTATAAGCAGGCTCCTGCTAGTTTTCAGTCTACCACCTAATAGGCACTTTCAGAACTATGGGTAAAAAGCCATGAAATCTATTGGGCTGACCACATAGCGCGGATGAGAGTGCGTGTACTCTCTCGCGAAACAACATCGTTCCTGTGTAGCGCATAGAAATACAAATTGACATACGTACATGCAGGAGTGAATAAAGTAAATAATAGATTAATAAGAAAAATAGAATAAGAATAATGAGAAGATAGAAAAGAAATGAGCAATGAGAAGAATAAGAATATGAGATAGATAAGAATAAAATAGTAGTAATAGAATAATGAACTATTATGCATTACTCCTGGTACATGTATTTCTATGGTCGCTAACCACTGTCGTGGTCAGTAGCGCCCCGTACGAGGCGTCGGAGCGGAAACCACGACGAACTTGCCCGCGGGGATATTATGATAGCTCGAGCGCGAAGGTGGTGTCCTGGCTGACTCCCTGGACGACAGCGTTACGGCGGTCTCACCTCTACTAATGATGTGCGCCCGCCGCTTGTAACGCTCAACAAAGTCTTTGTGCGTGCGCCAGCTGCATGCGGTGCGTGAGAGGGGTGCGCTCATACACGACAGGCCAGAGAGAGAGAGAGAGAGAGAGAGAGCAGAGAGAGGTAGAGAGAGAGAGAGAGAACTGAACGCTCGGGCGAGTCGCGAGTGGTGGAAGTCAGTCTAGAGGCCTTAAGGCTGCGTCGCTACTATATTATAGTATGCCTGCTCACGAGTCGACGGGGCGGTGAATAACTGAGCGCCCGCCTTGTTCGAGCGATAGCTGTGCGTATGCCCGCTGGTGGGCTGGTAACGAGTGCATGGCGTGGCCGGGTGCGGCCGCCGAATATCTTAGCGGCGGATAGGCTGCGTATGATAGTGCGCTTTCCTGCATGCGTCGACATTGTGCAGGTTTGTTAGCGAGCTGTGGCATCCCCGGTCCATGCGGAACCTACGGTGCAGAAGATTTCACTGCATTCCTGCGAGAATCTACGTGCCGCGCCGTGCGGGTGTATGTGTGCGTAGTGTGGAAGAGCAGCAAGTCGTGAAACTGATGGTACCGAAGAGCTAAATACATAGCCTTGTACTTGGTACGATCTGGCCTTGATGGTACCCTAGAGTGCAGCTGCAACGTGATTGATAATCTGTATAGCTATAATAATATATAACTATATATTATACACGTCGATCCGATTGGATATACACATGGTCGCGCTGTTCTAGGCGAATGCTGGGCCATACGTAAGTTTCTTGTGCGTGAATGCCTACGGCTCGAGTCTGCGTGTGTGTGGCCTCTCTTTCCGCCCCTTTCTCTCTCTGTTCCCTCCTTGCTCTCTCTCTCTCGTCTCGGTCTCTCTCTCCTCTCAATCTCTCTCGCTCTCTGTCTGTCTTATTCTCTCTCGTCTATCTACCCTCTCTCTCTCGCCTCTCTCCCTCCCCCCTCGATCTCTCTATCTCGATCTCTACCTATAAAGCACACACGAACACGCACGCGCTGCGACGGCGGTGCACCAATGCGCGGCACACACCGCGCGACGCCACACAACACACACACACACACACACACACACACACACAAGCACACACACACATATATAATATATAAAAATAATACAATAGATATATTATATATATTATATACCGTACACACACGCTAGCGGCACGCCACACACGCACGCGCAACTCACACACACACACCGGCAGACACGACTAACGCACGCACGTGGCAGAAACGCGCACACACGCGCACTCAACGCACGCACGCACACACCACACGCCACACGCACACACACGCACGCACGCACTGACGCTGCCGCAGTAGTTCAGATATAATGGTAGCAAAGCCCATGTTCCGCGTATGTTACCGACGTGGCGATAGGCAGCGAAAACCCAGCGCTATAAAGCGGCTTGTGAGCTTGATAGTACGTTCCGCACCAAAAATAAACATCAGTGCAGCGCGTGAGTAGGTATGCAGCAACTCGCTAAATGTTCCAGCTGATATCGCCAGACGATACAGGCAAATCGCAGGGCAATCGTTGATCCAAACGTAGCGTATAGTATACAATTGGCTACTGATTATGTTTCTATAGCAATGGCGGATACGCCACTAGTCAGTCGCAGTGCGTGCGGGAAGCAAACACGCTGGAATTATGCTTCTCTTGACAAAATGAATATTATGATGAGAGAAAAATATAGATAATAGCTGTGTGCGTGTGCCGCCGTGCGTGGCCTCGCGCGCTATTGCGGTGTACGGAACGTTTGCTTTGTGACGTGGCGTTCGAGGTATAATATTGTTTCGCGACCAGGCACGCAAGGCAAGAAGTCTATTATTAGGAGACTGTACTCCCGCAATATGCTACATGTATTTCAGGCCCGGAGATAAATGCGGCATGACGAATTAAAGCAAGGAAACATAGGAGCGTATATGTACACATGCGCGTAGGCTACTGCAAGCGATGTCTTTCTACTAGCGGCGCCACGTCCCTTTCCGTGGCGAAAATGACGCCACTAAGAGGCGCGCGGTCGCGTCCCACGACGGGCCCGTCGCCGGCTACTGTCAGAAACTACATCACGACTACTACTTTGCTACACTGATACTATACCACTCCTACTACACGTGACGTACTAGTGCTGGAACTACTACAGTGCGACGTAGAGGTCTGTAATAAACGACGTGTTGACGTGGGGCACATCTGGACGTGTACGAATGCTTACCAAACCTGCCACCGCGTACCTCTACACTGGGAGAGCGCGACGGGATAGCGAAAGAGAGCTGGCGGCAAAACGTCGCGTCACAGCAACACAGCACAGAGAGCAATCTGCTCCGTGCTAAAAGCAGGATTACAACACTGTTAAGCAGAGCTCGGTATGTGGTGCGGTATGTGTGAGAGAAAGGATTACGCGGACTGCGGCGTTGGTGGGCGTCGGTGAAGATGGTGAAGTACTGCTGGTTTCAGATCTGGATACGCGGCGTTCCTTTTTTTGAGAGAGAGAAAGAGATGAGCAGCGAGAGAAAGAGAGAGAGAGAGAGAGGGGGAGAGCGATATAGAGAGAGCGCGCGCGAGAGAGAAAGTGAGATAGAGACAGACAGAGAGAGAGAGAGAGAGCAGAGAGAGAGAGGAGAGAGAGAGAAAGAGAGAGAGAGAGAGGTAGAGAGAGAGAGAGAGAGATGAGAGAGAGAAGAGAGAGAAAAGAGAGGAGAGAGAGAGAGAGAGAGAAGAGAGAGCAGAGAGAGAGAAGAGAGAGAGAGAGAGAGAGGGTAGAGGTAGAGACAGACAGAGAAAGAGAGAGAAGAGAGAAAG